TGGGGCATACTCTGAAGTCTTAAGGGAGGATGGGTGGCCCTTAGGTTCCTTAATCTTTTGCCTTGGTGGTCTCTCTTCCAGAGAGCCCCTAACCTCGTACTTTCTGGTTGGCTTCAGCTGATCACGAGGAGAAAGTTCACAGAGCCTAATGGCTAAGTGGATCAGAGTGTGCCTTGCCTTCATCAGGAGTGTTAGGGAGTTAGGGAAGGGTCTTCCCTCTTCGGGAGGGGACAATATGACAACCACTTTTTTGTGTGCGACAGTCGAAGGAAAATCCGGAAAAGCCACGCTGAAGCAAACTTCCACTTCATTGTGCTAAAGACAGGATAAAAACACCATGCAGTACACTAGTGGGAGAGAGGTTCACGTGTTTCATGCTAACCTAACCTTAATTATAACCCATGGCATAGATATCATGCACTGGAATATATATGAGCAAAGTCCAATTAGTAATAGTGACAGCTGGACCTAATTAATTAACTCTTTTATAATCCAGCGCATGTGACTGCCTAGACAAGATACAGACACCTGTCAATGCAAAAAAACAAATATTCCCTTCATATTAAAAGTACATGAGATCTCACACATAAAAAAAAAAAAAAAAAAGTCATTCCACTAATGTTGCTTGCCATTTTAGTGATCACCATTGGGGTGATCATGCAGCCTTGCAAATTCAGGGCATTGAAAAGGTGGCCCGTCCAAAAAAAAAAAAAAAAGAAAAAGAAGAGGTGATATCTCTGGACTTCTGTGCAAAAAGGAGGTCTGTTGGATTTTTCACCTTCAGACACGTATCCCCAAGGGGTTAACTTTCAATTGGGACCTCACACGTTTTTATGAGATCTCATGTCAGTGTACGGTGTTATGTGGCTGTATATGCTTTATTACATTATATTTAATTATTTTTTATTTTATCTTGTATACAGCACACATATGCCTGTTAACGTTGTAGTGCAAGGTGTTCCTGGGTGCTTCAAATTGTTTTGGAATGTCCATTAGTATTGACCAGTTTTTTATATATGTATATATGTTTTGGTCCCTTGACATGTATGGTCTTATGTCCACAGTATCATGTATTCTTATTGTTTTTATTTAGTTCGTTTTTGGTTGCTCATATTTTCTAAATATTTGTTTTTTGCACCTACAGGTATCTGTATCCAAGAGTTAAATTATGGCCAGCTGTCACTATTACTAATTGGACTTTCACTCGTACGCATTTATTCCAGTGCTCCCTTCCTCGACCCACACAGGGCCTCAAAGCAGTTACCACCTCAGTGGTGTATTCCTCTGGCAGTAGATCTCTGTCACCTATTAAATTGGACTTTTCTGCCATGCGTTATGATTAAAGCGGAGTTACACCCAAAAGGTTCTGGTTTAATGATTGGTCCCCTGCTCCCCATTAAGGATTGGCACCTTTGGGGAGTGGGAGGGGCGGTTACCCAAAATTGACAGGTACCCGCTCCCACTTCCGCTGCTATCACCTAGGTAATCGGAAGCGGAAATTGTCCTCCTACCCTCCCTTCCTGTAGTTCTGTGGGACACATCCCAGATGATGATGGGGCAATTATTATTTTTACAGAGTGAATGGAACTCTGCTTTAAGCACTGAGGTTAGCGTGAACCTTTCTCCCACACTTGTGTACTGTATGGTGTTTTTATCCTGTCTTTAATACAATAAAGTGGACATGTGTTTCAGGGCGGCTTTTCTGGACTTTCCTTTAACCGTCAGCACAGGTGAGTGAACTGGACCGGCACACATGTTACAGGAGTGTGCGGTGTTGGATCATTGAGCTTACCTTAAGCAGTGCTACTTCTCTCACCTTCTTGTGTGTGTGTTCATGTGCACTTTTTTTGTTCACTTCAATAAATAATACATTTTTAGTCCTCTATATATCAAACCAATAATAGAAGCAAACAAGGAGGAAAAAAGGATGAAGGGATTTGGCTCCAAAAGAGATTCAACTACTTTAAATGAGGGACAGCTAGAAGCTATGACAATAAAATATAAAGCCAGTAAAGACTAAAAACAGCAAAAATGACTGTACTGCATGCTTAATCACAAGAGCAAGAGAGTGTGCTCAAAGAACAGAAATTCATAGTAACCAATCTTATGGATCATGGGACTTTTATCGCCGCTCTCTGCACTTACTAAATAACTCTGTTAGGGCTATAACTAGTAAGCAGAAACCCAATATGGAGTGTACTTTGAATTTTATGTGGAAATATTTGCCCCCTAAACTAACAGGTGTTGATGTAAATGAATGTGTTACACCCGTAATTGTAAAAGATTAATTTCATTTATAGAACAGCTTGACTATAAAACCACAAGAGTACAATATACAAGGAAACTTTGAAGGTCACTATGTAATTATGCTGGGGACCCTGCCCAGACAACTTTCCGACTATAGACTTCTTGTTTTACAGCAGGGTTATCCTAACCAAAAGATTTACAGGATGATCCTAAAATAGAGGAATACTTGTATACGCATAACTCCAATCACTACCTGGGAAAAAAATTTTATCGTCAAAATGTTGCTGCCATAGTCATCAAGAAGTATATACTACATTTCCTTACTGTGATACAGCTGGGTTGATTTGAACATCATAATATAGAAACTGACCAGTTCAACTGGCTCAAAAATAGTGAATGTATTTTAGAATTTGCTTCTAGAGTCTAGTAGAACTGTAGAGTATTGTCTATATGACAATACTGCTCCTGGGACTAAATATACAAAACTTTTCAGTAACAAATACACAAGAGAGCTACTGTCACTTCATTATTCTGGACAGTGTTGATGGTAACAAAAACATGCCTTTGTTTTGTCCATGAATGAAAATAGATTTTAAATCTGAAACCTGAGATACCAGTATGAAAACCATTTTTACAAAAACATGTCAAGCTGTCTCACAGAATCCAGCCACTGCTGGAAAAGACTCAATGCTATTTAAATATGCAACCGATGACATTTTCATACAAATCTGAAAAGTATAAATACTGGACTATTTAATTTGACAAATCAATGTCTTTGCTCTAACAAATGGGTTTTGTACAGGTCATAAAATTTCACATTTATAACATACATTCTTTAAAATGAATTTTTTTATTTCTGAATTCTATACACTGGTCCTTTTACAGTAAGTATTGTATATTGTAATGCCATTTGTCATTTTCTTTTATGTTTATACGCTTTTGAACAGATTTTTTTTTAGTATCTATTCTACTATACTATTTATTTAGCATTTCATTGTTATTATTATTTTTTTTTTTTTACAAACTACTATCGAATGCGGGACAAAGTATTTTCAGAGCACCATGGGTCAGCTAACAGCATTGCAGATGCCGCCTGCTTTGTGTCTTAAAGGAAACCATGCAAGAAAAGATGAGGCAATGCTCAGATACATTTACTCTACAAAGGAGATAGGGAGGGATAATAAAATGATAAACTGTTTCAGACTTCATGCTGAGGATAAGCTCAGGCATGTTTGGATCCTAGTCTGAATCAACTTGAGTGAGCCTGCCAGGAAGACGTCGCTGTTCTGGGCCAATCATCTGCTGCTGGGGTGTGTATACATGTGTCTGAGGGCAACTTACGTTTGGCCCAGTACAGTGACCGCTTCCTGACGGGCTCACTCATTTGGTTTGGATTAGGATCCAAACAGGTCTTAGCTCATCCTTACTTCTAACTATTATTTTTACAATTTTAAGCAAGCCCATACCTTGCTTTGACTAGGCAAATTATCATGTTCCCTTGATATCAGGCTTCACTAGGAGTTTATAATTACTTTCAGCCACTGTCCTGCTGGTCCAAACCCAGAACTTCAGAGTGCGGGGGGGACACAAACTACTCCCCCTGCTTTCCACACCTGAAGTATTAATTCCTAGTGGTCTGACCTCAAGAAAACCAGTAGTCAAGGCAAAGCACAATTTAAGTTCTTTATTTTTTCCCCATACAGGGCAAAGCAAAATGTTCACTTAACTTTCCCTCTAACCAGGTGCACATATTTATCGTGGCATGAAAATAAAATCAATGTCTGCATATTTTATAATGGTCTTCCCTGTACTTATGCCTTCGTGAAATATAAAAAGGCTCATGGGGAAAAACATTAACTAACATACTTCTCTTACCCCAAGCTTCCGCCTTTTGCACCTAGGGGGTTATGTCACTTTCCGTCTGGGAAGATTCGGAGAATGTTGAGTAATGAAAATCTCATGAGAAGATGCTGTGCTTGTGCATCTTCTAGTGAGATTTTGGATACTTCCCCACCACGTTCTGTAGTACAGAAGCCAGGGTAAGGCAAGTCGTTTACTAACCTTTTTTGCCTGCAGACATTTTTCCTTTACATTTCACGAAAGAATTTTAGCATGGGGTATTGTGGAAAAAACAAGAACCTTCTTTGGTAGTGCAAGGTTTACTTTTAACTTTCCTTTCCTTTGTTACTGCTCTATTCAACCATCTGAAGCAAGGGAAAATACCGGGCACCTCCAGGTAGAGAGAACATGATTCACTCCACTGCCTATTTCATAACATCTCTGAAGAAACATCTACTTAAAACTTTCAGAACAAAAAACAATAAACTGTAAAAATGTTTGCTAAAATTCTTGCAATATACAGTTGTACTCAAAAGCTTGCATAACCTGGCAGAAATCTTGCAATTTTGGCGTTGATATTGAAAATATGACTGATCGAGTGAAAAAAATGTCTTTTATTTAACAACCTCCCGCCTGCTATATAAGGAAATTACAGGCGCAAAGCGGTTCCCTCGTTCTGGGAGGATGTCATATGACGTCCTCCCACTCTAAACCGCGCGTGCGATCGGACACAGCGGATCACCAATCAACGGAAAGAGCCAAAGACGTCGGCTCTGTCATGTGATCAGCTGTGTCCAATCACAGCTGATCACATGTAAATAGGGAAATGCCGCTTATCGGCATTTCTCTCCTCACGAGCTGTCACGCTGACCGCTCATGAGGAGAGCCGGTAATCGGTATTCCTCAGAGGGGACATGTACACTGATCATCAGGGCACTGATGATCAGTGTGCCCCATCAATGCCACCTGCCAGTGCCCAACAGTGTCACATCAATGACACATCAGTGCCTACCAGGGCACATCAATGCCACATATCAGTGCCCATCTGAGCTGCCTCAGTGCCACCTATCAGTGCCAGTCAGTGCCACCTATCAGTGCCAGTCAGTGCCACCTATCAGTGCTTCCAATCAGTGCCACCTATCAGTGCCAGTCAGTGCCCTAACAGTGCCAGTCAGTGCCGCCTATCAGTGCCACCTATCAGTGCCATATATGAGTGCTGCCTTTCAGTGCCCATCAGTGATGCCTGTCAATGCCCTTCAGTGCCACCTACCAGTGCATCCTCATCAGTGCCACCTATCAGTGCCCATCAATGCAGCCTCATTAGCCCACATCAGTCATGGAGAATTTTATAAACTAAGAAAAAAACTTTTTTTTTTTTTAAATTTTCAGTTGGTTTGTTTAGCAAAAAATAAAAACCCAGAGGTGATTAAATACCACCAAAAGAAAGCTCCATCTGTCTCAAAATATGATAAAAATGTCATATGGGTACAGTGTTGCATGACCACGCAATTGTCAAAGTGTGACAACACTGAAAGCTGAAAATTGGCCTGGGTAGGAAGGGGGTAGAAGTGCCTGGTAGGCAAGTGGTTAAAGATAGTGATCACATGAAGCCGTTTATTATCACATAGTTGTCTGGCTCCTTTTTAAATCATAATATTCACCTAATTGGCCTTGATCAAAAAGTTTACATACCTTGGAATGTTTTGCGCAGGTACAAACACACAAGGTGACACACACAGGTTAAAATGGCAATTAACCGCTTCAATATCGGGCACTTTTACCCCTCTTCCTGCCTAGGCCAATTTTCATGTTTCAGCGCAGTCAAACTTTGAAAGACAATTACGCGGTCATGCAACACTGTACCCAAACTAAATTTTTATTATTTTGTTCACACAACTAGAGCTTTCTTTTGGTGTTATTTAATCACCACTGGGGTTTTTTATTTTTTGCTGGAATAAAAAAAAAAACATGTTTTTCTTTGTTTCGGTTATAAAAGTTTGTAAATTAATAATTGTTCTTCATAAATTTAGGCCGAGATGTATTCTGCTACATGTCTTTGGTGACAATAACTCGCATCAGTATTTATTATTTAGTCTGTAGGAAAGTTATACGGTTCACAAACTATGGAATATATCTGAAAATTGATCGATCCTGAAGTACTGACAGCCAATATAATTTCTTGAGGCCCAAAAATGTCAGAACAGTACAGCTATCTCCCAAATTACCTATTTTAGCAAAGTAGACAGTCCGACTTATTTCATAACAGGCATGGCAAGTTTTTTGAAGTTGTAATTTTTGTCATAATATTTTTTGAAAAATGGAGAGTAAAAAAAAAAATTTTTTTTTTACATACTGTCACCAGTGCAGTACAGCATCATCATATAACTGGTGTGGTGGTGATCAGGGACAGTGACAATACGAAAAAAAAAAATTGATAATTGTTTTTCAATTTTTTTTATTATTTTTAAATACATTTATTTCTCTTTTTTTTAAGATGAATTTTTCATATCACACTATGACATATTACTATATGCCGGGCGGGAAGTGGTTAAAGGTTAATTTCCCACATCTGTGGCTTTTTAAATTGCAGTTAGTGTCTGTGTATAAATAGTCAATGAATTTGTTAGCTCTCACATGGATGCACTGAGCAGGCTAGATACTGAGCCATGGGGAGTAGAAACAAACTGTTTAAAGACATGCGCATCAAGATAAATGTACTTTATAAAGATGGAAAAGAATATAAAAAGATATCCAAAGTCTTGAATACGCCAGTCAGTACTGTTCAATCCCAGAACTGCTTGCCCTGGGGGCACCCGTGCGTGCTCGTTCCCATGCCACCTCTGTGTGGCTATGAGACACAGAGCATGGCTCGGCCCTGCCCCCTGTTCCCTCCTCACTGGTTGTGATTGACAGCAAGAAGAGCCAATGGCTCCCACTGCTGTGCCCCAGCCAACTTGGGAGAGCTGCTGCTCTCATGCACATTGTTGGATCGGTATTGGGCTCAGGTAAGTATTGGGGAGACTGAGGGGGGACCTGAACACTAAAGGTTTTTTTTTACCTAAAATAAAATCACTATTCATCAAATATAAAAATGTATTTTACATATAGTATATACATGTGAGTTGTCAATAGAATACTCTAAAATGATTAGCAAACTGACAATTAAAAATACAGGAAAAAACAGATTTGTAAACAGAAGCAGACTTTCAGTGGGTGACTAAACTAGTGATGTCACAGGCACAAAGAGTTAGAAAAGCTGCAGATGGTGTTGCTATTATGTAACTTTAAAGACATTAAATAATTAGAGTGGGCACATGTTTGAATTATAACAGGTAGAACAAATTGAAAATATAATTTTGGCACAACAAATGCCATTCTACATACATTGCTCTATACTCACATCCAGGTATACAGCTTTTTTTTTTTTTCGCAGGAAATGTAAAAAGAACTTGGAGCTATTTATGCAGCCTAGCTGATATTTTCTCCACTTCTGTCAGTAAAAACAGAATCAGACTTTTTTTTTTTTTTTTTCTGTAAAAAAAAAAAATACTGTGAGAACCCAGAGGGAGGCGTGGGAGGGAAGCATTCTTCAAACCAAAGGAAATAACAGTGTGGGAGGACACAACTCATAATTCTGAATCCATAAAAAAAAACACATGTAGATGCTCTTCTTTTTCTAGAACATGTAATTTATATATATTTGCCAATTTTAGATTTATGGAGCAGCAACTGGGCTCTGTTGTGGCTTAGGGATCAGACAGTCAGTTCTTAATATGCTCTGTTCCTTGTGTATTAAAAACTCAGGTGCAAGAAATATAAATCTTCATATCTGTTCAGCATTCCAAATATATTTTCATTTATCTTATTTATTACTGAATAAATATATTTGTTCAAAACACAGATATAAGGGGTTGAACTCCTACAATGGACTTATCTAGACTATCAAAGTTCATATTTATTTATTTCAGGTACTTATATAGCGCCGTCATTTTGCGCAGCACTTTACATATATATATTGTACATTCACATCAGTCCCTAACCCTCAAGGGGTGTACAATCTAAGGTCCCTAACTCACATTCATACATACACATATTAGGGCCAATTTGGACAGGATCCAATTCACCTACCAGCATGTCTTTGGAGTGTGGGAGGAAACCAGAGTACCCGGGGGAAACCCATGCAGGCACAGGGAGAACATGCAAACTCCAGGCAGGTGGTGACGTGGCTGGGATTCAAACCAATGACCCTAGTACTGCCAGGCAGAAGTGCTAACCATATATAATCATATAACTGTTTATTTCTTCTTTTTAACAATGTTTTGTGGGGACAGAAGCAACTAACATTACACAAACAAAAAAAAAAACTTTTATTTAATTATTGTTTTGGTGCCTTGGTTTTTAGACCTGTTCTTGGGGTTATTTGGGGCACTGGTTCAGAAAATAGCATTGGCTAGACTGCATCAGCTTTAGTTTATTAGATATTTTCAGATTTATACAACAATTTAGACCATTTTTGAAAAGATCTTGCTGAACAGCTTGTTCTGTGCATTCTTGCATACAAGTTAGCAGATTTAGTGAGAGTGTTTACGTGCCTCCGACTGTAACTTTACATCTGAAATATTGGATTGTAAAAAGTTAACTGTATTATAGTTATGATCGTATAGGAGGTGTGTGTATATATTTATACTCATAACGTTTAATTTTTGTAGACTGAGCACTGTAGAGGTTATGGCTATTTCTTTATTTATTTCATGCTACAAGGAGATTAATTAAAATACTATTAAAACGTCTTGATTTTTGACTGGCGATCGGAGTGAAGAACGGTATATGGCATTTATGCTGTATCTCAAAAACTAAAGCGGATATTGAAAAATTGGCTCCATTTTTGGAATCAGCGGGTCAAATACCCAGGAACAGGTCAAATGTTCAAGGCACTAAAATGTGTGTTGACCTGTATACTTATTATTTAAAATTTATATTTTTCTAACCTGTCTGTTGCTTCTTGAATGTGGTGACAGTCCAGTGTAGAATTAGGTGTGTTTAACTGCACCCCAATCCTTCTGATAATGGTTTATGCTATTATCTTTTAAAGGCCTACTACATCCAAAACGTTATATTTAATATTGGAGAGATTAGGGAAGGGTTACAGTCTCTGGACAGGAAATGGGAGATTTCCCAATTTGGAATACATTAAAAAACAATTTTAAGTAGACTAGAGAAGGATCAGATCTTTTCATAATATTTTTACTGTTACCTTGCACCTTCCTTTCCCAGTGGCAACACACTGACAATTTTTATGTGTTCATCAAAGGAACAGAAAGTGGGATGAGAAAGTATAATTAATTCTCCTTACTAGTGTCACAGGCATAAATAAAAATAAATACATTTTGGCAGCCAACACACATGCGCGTTTGCCATTTTGGCTGACCGAGCACGCTCCCTAATGTGTTGCCTGATCGGAAGTGGAGACACATGCCAGATGTTTATACAGTATGGGAGTGCTCCAAGGGGGCATAAATTGTGGACTCCAGTCTTGAGACTGGGAGCAGTGGCCAAGCTTGCATCATTGGTGGCAGGGACAATACTTTTTTTGCTTCTGAAGCCTTGGTAAGGTTCTCCTTTGTGATCTCATTTTGGGGTCTTCTGGTGTTTTTTTCTTCTTTATTGTGGTCCATATTCATTCTTTTTGTAAATTTTATTTTTAAATATAGTGGCTGCGGCTGTCTACGAGAATTTAGTTCTGATATTCCAGTGAATTCATGGCAGCATGTGTGTGCAGAGCCCTCCATTTTTTTCGGTTATGGGCTTTCTGGTTTCCTTTGCTTGCCATCATATTCACATATAAAATAAGATGAGTGCAGCGCTAAAATATGAATAGTCCTGATAAATAAAATTACATAAAATGCATGTATATGATAAAAGTCCATAATAACTTCAAATGTGACTTCAAATATCCCCAATTCTTCGCTTCCTCAAAAATTGGTGAGAGGCAGAGTATGAATAAAGTGCGCACTCACCAGACGCGCAAAGGTATTGCGCAATAGATAGATAAACGGAGGTCTGCCAATGGGTCCCTCTCAGGATAGGAATGGAATCATCCCGGGATAGATGGATGTCATCAGGATGAAATACTCAACCGGAGGTCCACTTTAAGGACACGGGTGCAGCCTCTTCAATATGATGGAATAGTCACCAGGGGGAGCTCTGGGGGATTAAGTGCTCAGTGCAGAGCAAAAGATGGAAATACCCATAGTGTAGTAAAAATTTGCGCACACCGGTGAGTGCGCACTTTATCCATACTCTGCCTCTCACCAATTTTTGAGGAAGTGATGAA